CACGCTACAAGCTGCATCGTCTGTCAAGGGAGAAAGGTTTACCTTGCCTCTCTTGGGGAGACTCGTGCCCGTGTTGTGTAAACAACTCTGCACGAGCACCTAAGGAGGCTTACCTCCTTACCAGCCCGTGGTGGCGCGTACGTATGTCTACTGAGATGTACGAAGGGATTGACAACTTGAAATCCCTTTACGACCGTGCCGGGAAGACTTTCTCCGACGGTCCTTCTGCGGCACAGGATGTGCCGCGTCGTACTGCTCAACCAGACCCAGTACGTCGATCATCAGTTGGGAGCGGGGCTCCCAAGAATCCCAGGACGGGGGATAGACGCGCCACCGGACAAGATAACTCGTCCGACGTTCGTTCACGTCGCGGTGGCTCAACAGCTGCTCGACCAGATAGCGCTGGCCACCGCGAGAGTCCTCTAATGGAGGTGGAGGAGGAGGAAAGACGCTCTCCACACGATCATGTGGATCGGTGTGTTCCCGAGAGCTTCTTTGATCGCGTAACGCAAGGGTTACGCGGCGATCTCGAACATGAGCGGAATAGGCGTCTCCAAATGGCGGACACTGCCTCGAAGCATCGAGCTGAGTTTGCCTTTGCTCAGCTTGAGAACGAGAGATCTCTGACATCTTTCGTGACGAGCTAAGGGTTGCTCGTGGGATTGCTGATCGGTCTCGGGATGAGATAACTGCTCTTCAGACCCTTGTCGATGCCCACCATCGGGAGCACAAGGCTCTCTGCGAGATGCTTGAGCGCAAGGGCGTTCTTCATCGGAAGAAGCAGCGTACCGATGGTACGGCTTAAGCCGACCAACGTAAAACGTGGGATGCGTTCGCATCTTACGTGGTAACTCGATCGTGTATGCATTGCCTAGGCGGTGCAATACACGAAATGGACCGATGTACTTGGGTAGAAGTTGACTACTACCCAAGTTAGTCACTACATGCTTTGGTAGATTAACCGTAGACAGTAGGACTAAGTCACCTTGATTAAATAAAAGAGTGTTTGCCCTTCCATTCTTGTCTGCGTTTTGCTTTTGCTTATCCATCGCTTCAGCGGTGGAATCTTGCACAAAACGGACTACCGTTTTACGAGCCAGTATGAACTCATCTGCTGACTCGTTAGCTTCAGTGCGCTGTGAGTGCACTGCAGCGACATCAACCTTTTCTTCAGTGAGGGCTTCCTCGCTCTCACTGGCATCAAATCTTCTTCGATATCAATGTTGTCGATATCGGCATCAAACGCAATGACCTCATCGTCAGAGCGTGATGAGCGTGAACCAAATCGGTTTTTGCTCGCGCGAGTCTCTCCCCCCCTTAAACCAGAGTTACACTCTAGTAAGGTGGGTACACGCGGATGGCGTAAGCCATTCACGTAAAACGGTGTATGGGTCGTGGACGCATGCACCGAGTTGTTAATGGCAAACTCTACCATTGGCAAAAACTCACTCCAACACTTAAAGGAGTGTACGTATCCTCGAAGTATCTCTTCAAGGAAACGATTGGCACGTTCCGTCGGACCATCTGACTCTGGATGATCAGATGTTGACATCTTCAAGCGCGTTCCGAGTGATTTGAACACGGAACGCCAGAAATCAGCAGTGAATCGTGGATCTCTGTCTGATACGAGTTAACGGGGCAACCCTTGAAGTCGGAAGATGGTGTCAACAAAGACACAAGCACAGCCACTTGCCGTGATTGACTCTGGTACAGCCACAAGGTGTACCATTTTGCTGAATCTGTCAACAATCACGAGAATACCCGTATTACCGCGTGCGTCTTTGGGTAACCCGAAGACGAAATCCATTGAGATGGATTCCCAGCACTCTGCCGGAACCGGTAGAGGCTGTAAAGGTGCACGCAGTGAAGGACTTGACTTCACTCGTTGATAGACTTCGCATGCGCGAACATACTTCTCACAAACTAATACTGGCGGGGCCAGTAAAAGTCTCGACTCACCGTGAGATATGCTTTCTCCCGGCCACGATGTCCTCCTATAGGAGCATCGTGATACTCGAACATGATCCGCAAACGCAGATCAGTTTCATCTGGAATGACAACACGTGGTGTGTCACCAGAAACGGCTGTATAATACAGTAAACCGTTACGAGTAGTGTATCGATCTGATGCAGATCGATACGCAGGCGACAATCGTTTCAACGATTCTCGAGATGGTTGTGAGAGATGTGTCAACAACTTCACTATCTCACCATCTTGGGCGTATGCCCGCCTCACATCATCATACAACGTTGTAGATGGGACTGAGGACGTCATAACCGCAACAGTGACTGTCTCACTGTTGGGTTTCGCGACTGTTTCAAAGTCGGGACGACGTGAGAGTGCATCAGCGACGACATTAAGTCGTCCTGGTTTGTACTCGACCGTAGAGTTGTATGCTGCAAAGAATGACAACCACCGCGCCATTCGTTGTGAAAGGTGCGGGCTGTTCACTGCCGTGCGTAATGACGCATGGTCAGTGTAAACAATGAAGGGTCTATCTCCTAAGAGATATACTTTGAACTTCGCGAGTGCATACTTCATGGCAAGGAGTTCCTTGTCATGCACTGGATAGTTTCGCTCAGCTGGTTGCATCTGACGCGACCGATAGCAGACGACGCGTTCAACGCCTTCAAGATCGTACTGCATTAATGCACAGCCGATTGCGAAATCGCTGGCATCACAGACCACATGAAATGACCTGTCCTGATCGGCAATTGCTAGGACTGAGGATTGCATCAAGCTCTGCTTGATACCATCAAAGGAGCGCTGACATTCAGCGTTCCATAACCATCTCTCGTTCTTTTTCAACAAACGAGAGAGGTGCACAGTCATCTCGGCGTAATTGCGCGAATACTTATGCAAATACGCCGCTAGCCCAAGGAATTTTCATAGACCTTTGACATCAATCGGCACAGGCCATTCGGTGATCGCCATGATCTTTTCGGGATCAGGACGTACACCGTTCTTACCAACGATGCACCCAAGAAGTGGTAATTCGCTTGCTGCAAATATACACTTCTTGAGGTTAGCATACAATTGATGCTTTCGCATGATTGTAAGAACCTGTCGGACGTGGTACCTGTGAACCTCAACATCCGACTTTCCATCCATAGCCCGATTATGGATGAGTACGTCATCAAAATAACTCGGTGCGAATTCTCGTACTGGTCTCAACAGATGTGATACACATCTGTTGAACGTGGCAGGGGCATTACTAAGCCCTTGTGGCATTACTAGCCATTCCCAGAGCATTCCACTGGGCGTGCTAACTGCGGTATACGGTATATCCCGTTCTCGCATAAGGATTTGATAGAAGCCATCCATCAAATCCATGGACGAAAAGATAGTACTCTTTGACATATCATCAATGATTACGTCCTTCCTTGGTATCGGCGTCTGAGCCGGTACCGTTGCAGCATTCAACTTGTTAAATGCATGCACTATCCGCCACCCTCCTGTTGATTTTCGCACACAGAAGGTCGGAGAGCTATGTGGGGAAGTTGATTCCCTCACATGGCCCGCAGCTAAACGATCGGCAAAGAACTTGTCGATCGCAAGTACTTGTTCACGGGGCAGTGGCCACTGCTTCATGACACAGTATTTCGAACCGGGATTCAGTTCGACCTCGTGTCGAATACCTTTATCCTTCGGTAATTCGTACGGAACGGTTTCAGGGAATACATCCTTGAATTCAACCAAATCTTCATAGAGAGGATTTGTCTTGAGCGATTCCCACGATTGGGAGTCATATCGCTCAACTCGTGTCTTTTCATCTAGGACACTCTCGTCCATAGATGAACTACTGAGAACTCCCTCGTTCTCAGTAAGCGTTGTTGCTGACCTTATGTCGGCTACACACTCGTCGTCAGCGACGAGTACGCAGATCTGCTTGACTTTTCCACTACGCAGATCACGCAATAACCTTTTATGTTCCAGCGTTGGCAACTGAGTGATCTCCGAAGTCAACTTCGGAGGCGCAATCAGATCAAGTGTATAAGCGCCTACGCTTGATGCGTTATTGACTATGACATTCAATGTCTCTGTCATTTCCTGGTGACTTATTCCCTCAGGGTTCGAAGGACTTATTCCTTCGGCTTCTCGGGGACTTATTTCCGCGGGTTTCGGGGAACTTATTTCCGCCGTATTTGTAGTCTTGGGACTTACTCCCTTTACTTCCTCTAGCTGGGGTTGCGCAACCACAGCGAGATCCTCTACGAAAGACTCTCCAGTCGATCTAGGATTATCGTTTCGCTTAACCTGAGCGATCGATTGTTTCTCTTCTAGATGTTCCCCGCTAGGGATACATCTTTGTCCCAGTCCACCCGACTTATTCGAGTGGTGGACCTTCGGCGCAGCCTGTGTTTCCTCACAGCCGCCAAAACTTTGCTCCGAAGTGTAACCTTTTGGTACACTAAGGTTTTGTGCAGTCGTACTAACGACCGTACCACAAGTGAGGCCATCGCACTCACTCGTAGTACATCCACACGCTTGTGGACGCTCCAAAACGTTCATCAGATGGCCATCTGATGAACAAGCGGCAGGCATCGTTACTGTTCGATGTTGCCAGTTTACTCGTGGTTCGTACCTTCTGAGCCACGGTATTCCAAGGATGACATCAAATTTGTCATCCAAATCCAATACGATAAAGCCATCGTCATATTGAGTATCTTCTAGCGTATAGTGGATCTTCAATATACGCTTCATGACGGTTACGGATGCGCCTGTCGCAAGACGTACCGTCATCTTCGTAGGAGGTGTGTCACATTCAGCAAACTTGAAGTGACCATCTTCTAATGATTGGCGTTGCACAAAATTGTTGGATGCCCCACAATCGACCAGAGCTCGAAGGGACAACTTATTCGTCACTTCGAGTTTCAAGGTAATGAGTGAGATCTCATTACCTAGAGCAGCAACGCACAACGTTTGTGTGTTGGGAGCAACCTTCATCAAGAGGCCTACAAATTCTCTTGACGTTGCTGGACCAGTAGGGTGCTCCGCACCTACTGATCCTGTCGGTTTTTTGACGGTCCATCCCGTTGTTGCGTCTTTGCACCAACAGCGGACCCTCGTCCCTGCCCCTTTCTCATGGGTGGACGGTCACTACGCCCAGTGTCGCGAGACACTGGACGAGGGGCACTACACTCGTAAGCGTAGTGTCCTGTCTTCTGACATCTGTTGCATTTCTGCAACTTCTTGTAGCCTGTAGAGCGAGCCTTCTCGCTCTCTACATAACAGAGTTCCATCGGCTCTGGACCTCCGTTGTCATATCGTCTCGGTTGACGATACGATGTCGAGCTGGCGCGAGCCTGTCTCAGACTGAAGTCTTCCTGTTCCGCAATGGAAATGGCTTGTTCTAGTGAATCTTGTTCAGATCGGAACAGGTGAGTCTTGACGGGACCATCCGCAAGACCCTGCATGAACACCGAAACCAGCGTGTATTCATCCACCGGATTGGAACTTATACAACTCGTGAGATGTCGTATATGTTGCGCGTAAGCGTGCACATCACGCTTACCCTGCTTGAGCTTCAAGAGTTCGGTTCGAGCTCTGAACTCAGCTCTAGGCGGTTCAAACGTTTGTCTGAGCCGCGACTTGAAGACTTCCAACGACCCAAACGCATATGGGTCGTGCAACTTGAGCCCCAGTGCCCAAGTCTTGGCACGTCCTGCCAGATTTGACTGGGCAAATTCAACTTGCATATCCCCGTCGTCGATGCGACGCGCCCTTATGGCGTCATCCAATTCGACGAACCATCTCAAGAGGGAGTCCTCTTCGACTCCCCTATACTTGGAGATGTCAATCTTCAAGGTTTCGGGCCGACGCGAGTGCATCGACCCACCAGCAGCAGCCTGCTGCTGTCTCAACAGTTCAAACTGTTGAGCACCCTATTCTTTCAACAACTCTGCTTGTTGAGAACCTTGTTGGTGAAGCAAGGCTACTTTCTCGCGTTCAGCGTCAAGTTCATTTTGAATGAACTTGGCGATAGCAGAATGTTGGGCATCCCTACTGAGAGCCTCTAGCATGACGCTTACAGCATGGATGCCCATGGTTGAACCCATCCGTTCAACCGCATCCCATTCGACATCGCTCAAATGGGAGTTGCGGTCACGCGTAGCGTGAAAGCTTTGGTCATCTTCATCATCCAACATATTCATGTTGGATGTGAACACGGTCCTTGGACGGACTACGAAGTGCTACCAGGTAAAACGGGGCACCCTCACTCTTGCACTGATGACAGTACAAGCTACTTATTCTGATGACAGAATAAGGCGGTGCCTCGGAACTTCACGTACACTGGTACGTGCAGAGGATGACGGTAAGAAGAAGCGAGTACTTGGTTAAAGTAAAAAGTAGAACTGTATTTATAATAATTAATGTCTGCAATAAATCACTATTTATCTTCATCTAACTATGTCTAAATACAAATGTGTAAATCTACTATCTGCTCACCACTCATTGCGTGCGTCTGTCGTGGCGCGTCTTCGTTAGTTGATATAATGGTCTATATCAACCAATTGGGAACTACTCGTAAGTGCTACAGAACATTTGTCCTTATGACAATACTCTGAGAATATAACTCTTATAGTTATATTCTATTAACAATTTCTTATAAATTGTTATGTAACGATTCACCCCGTTACAACAATAGTTTTTCGCTTGATGCCTTTTTAACCTTGTGCGGCGGCCTTAAATGTCGGCAGAATTTAAATTTGTCGAGCGAAGATGGCTTTGCGATTGCCAGGCACACGTCGGCGTTCATGTCATTCAAGTTGTGAATGTAGTGCTCTAAGGCTGCACTCATCCGCTTCATCTTCGTCAAAGGAACCTCCCATGGGCATCGATCCTGTGGGCACACATTCATCTTGATATAGCCACCTTTTTTTAACCCTGCACTGCCGGTTGTGATCGATACAGTAGTCTTTCAAAAAACTGGTTGCAGCAGCACCGGACTAGAAAATTTGTCCATGGGCTAATTTAGTGGCTCCATAACTCGCACCTAAATCAATCGCCACCCTTTCGCGTGACATCTTGATGAATCCTGCTGTTGTTAAGCACTTAAATTCGTGACGCATATAGCAATATAATGTTCGAATGTTTGATGCACCAAGTAGTGTAATCAGTACTAAATTTTTCATCAGCTGGCGCAGGTTTGGTGTCCATATCATGTAACGGGCTACCCCGTAATACTGGTGCTGATTGTAGGAGTTTTATCTATGATGGCGCTGACTGCGAAATTTTACACTTTGAGGACATCGCTTACTCTGACTGGAACGCCGGCGAGGACATCCACCACACGACATTTTTGCGCGAAAAAAAGTTCAACTGTATTTGATTGAGACACAAAATGACCCTAAAAATCCAACTGATCGTGATATCATTTGATCTACTCGTGACTCATAACGAGACACTCATGTAGCACTATACTGAACTGAAGAGATTTTGCCATAAAAACTGAGGGGTGAGCAACGGTTCCCAAGTATTAAAATGGCACGTTTTCTCATCATTTCCATGGGCACTGTCTGTGTGCCCACATAAGTCGGTCGACCGTAAGGACATCCAGACTTTGTGAACCCAAAGCATTAGACGTGTAGTTTTTTGTTTGTTTAGTGGATGAGCCGTTCGTGTGCTGCGCTCTGTCCCAGGCCACTCGTCGCAAGCTGTAAGAAAAACCATGAGCACGTACATCGCAGGCCATAGTGCAGTCTTGCTACGAGTATCGTCAGTGCTTTGGTTGTCACATTTTGAGCGTGGAGTGTGTCAAGCAGCAATTGATGTGCATTTTTCTGGTGCATGGGAGAAAATAGAAGCTGTCATGAGGCTGAGCCCCAAGATGCTGTGCCGGTCCAGGGTCTTGAAAAATCCAGTGGTCTTTTTCCTTGTGTGCGACCGACGTACGGCCGATGCCAGCGGACACAAAAAGGCGGCACAGGTCGTCCGGAGGTATCAAAAGCGCAGCAAGGATGCGAAAGTAAACGGTGCTTCTGTGAGCTCTGAAGATGGGGATGCAGACGGGGTCTTACATCCCCTGTAGAGCCGGACATATGTGTGGCCTTTGTTTGCCGGTCAAGCGATGCGACACGCACCTTCCTACCAATAAAATGCAGCTGAGGTGATGTTTTCTTTTGTTTACTGGATGAGCCGTTCGTGTGCTGCGCCCTGTCCTAGGCCACTCGTCGTGTAACGGGGTGAACCGTTACAAAACAATTTTTAAGAAATTGTCAATAGAATACAACTATAAGATTTGTATTTTTAGAATGTCGTCATAAGGACAAATATTCTGTAGCACTTACGAGTTGTTCCTAATTGGTTGATATAGACCATTATATCAACCAACGAAGACGCGCCACGACAGACGCACGCAATGAGTGGTGAGCAGATAGTTGATTTACACATTTGTATTTAGACATAGTTAGATGAAGATAAATAGTGGTTTATTGCAGACATTAACTATTATAAATACAGTTCTACTTTTTACTTTAACCAAGTACTCGCTTCTTCTTACCGTCTTCCTCTGCACGTACGAGTGTACGTGAAGTTCCGAGGCACCGCCTTATTCTGTCATCAGAATAAGTAGCTTGTACTGTCATCAGTGCAAGAGTGAGGGTGCCCCGTTTTACCTGGTAGCACTTCGTAGTCCGTCCAAGGACCGTGTTCACATCCAACATGAATATGTTGGATGATGAAGATGACCAAAGCTTTTCACGCTACGCGTGACGGCTACTCCCATTTGAGCGATGTCGAATGGGATGCGGTTGAACGGATGGGTTCAACCATGGGCATCCATGCTGTAAGCGTCATGCTAGAGGCTCTCAGTAGGGATGCCCAACATTCTGCTATCGCCAAGTTCATTCAAAATGAACTTGACGCTGAACGCGAGAAAGTAGCCTTGCTTCACCAACAAGGTTCTCAACAAGCAGAGTTGTTGATAGAACAGGGTGCTCAACAGTTTGAACTGTTGAGACAGCAGCAGGCTGCTGCTGGTGGGTCGATGCACTCGCGTCGGCCCGAAACCTTGAAGATTGACATCTCCAAGTATAGGGGAGTCGAAGAGGACTCCCTCTTGAGATGGTTCGTCGAATTGGATGACGCCATAAGGGCGCGTCGCATCGACGACGGGGATATGCAAGTTGCATTTGCCCAGTCAAATCTGGCAGGACGTGCCAAGACTTGGGCACTGGGGCTCAAGTTGCACGACCCATATGCGTTTGGGTCGTTGGAAGTCTTCAAGTCGCGGCTCAGACAAACGTTTGAACCGCCTAGAGCTGAGTTCAGAGCTCGAACCGAACTCTTGAAGCTCAAGCAGGGTAAGCGTGATGTGCACGCTTACGCGCAACATATACGACATCTCACGAGTTGTATAAGTTCCAATCCGGTGGATGAATACACGCTGGTTTCGGTGTTCATGCAGGGTCTTGCGGATGGTCCCGTCAAGACTCACCTGTTCCGATCTGAACTAGATTCACTAGAACAAGCCATTTCCATTGCGGAACAGGAAGACTTCAGTCTGAGACAGGCTCGCGCCAGCTCGACATCGTATCGTCAACCGAGACGATATGACAACGGAGGTCCAGAGCCGATGGAACTCTGTTATGTAGAGAGCGAGAAGGCTCGCTCTACAGGCTACAAGAAGTTGCAGAAATGCAACAGATGTCAAAAGACAGGACACTACGCTTACGAGTGTAGTGCCCCTCGTCCAGTGTCTCGCGACACTGGGCGTAGTGACCGTCCACCCATGAGAAAGGGGCAGGGACGAGGGTCCGCTGTTGGTGCAAAGACGCAACAACGGGATGGACCGTCAAAAAAACCGACAGGATCAGTAGGTGCGGAGCACCCTACTGGTCCAGCAACGTCAAGAGAATTTGTAGGCCTCTTGATGAAGGTTGCTCCCAACACACAAACGTTGTGCGTTGCTGCTCTAGGTAATGAGATCTCACTCATTACCTTGAAACTCGAAGTGACGAATAAGTTGTCCCTTCGAGCTCTGGTCGATTGTGGGGCATCCAACAATTTTGTGCAACGCCAATCGTTAGAAGATGGTCACTTCAAGTTTGCTGAATGTGACACACCTCCTACGAAGATGACGGTACGTCTTGCGACAGGCGCATCCGTAACCGTCATGAAGCGTATATTGAAGATCCACTATACGCTAGAAGATACTCAATATGACGATGGCTTTATCGTATTGGATTTGGATGACAAATTTGATGTCATCCTTGGAATACCGTGGCTCAGAAGGTACGAACCACGAGTAAACTGGCAACATCGAACAGTAACGATGCCTGCCGCTTGTTCATCAGATGGCCATCTGATGAACGTTTTGGAGCGTCCACAAGCGTGTGGATGTACTACGAGTGAGTGCGATGGCCTCACTTGTGGTACGGTCGTTAGTACGACTGCACAAAACCTTAGTGTACCAAAAGGTTACACTTCGGAGCAAAGTTTTGGCGGCTGTGAGGAAACACAGGCTGCGCCGAAGGTCCACCACTCGAATAAGTCGGGTGGACTGGGACAAAGATGTATCCCTAGCGGGGAACATCTAGAAGAGAAACAATCGATCGCTCAGGTTAAGCGAAACGATAATCCTAGATCGACTGGAGAGTCTTTCGTAGAGGATCTCGCTGTGGTTGCGCAACCCCAGCTAGAGGAAGTAAAGGGAATAAGTCACAAGACTACAAATACGGCGGAAATAAGTTCCCCGAAACCCGCGGAAATAAGTCCCCGAGAAGCCGAAGGAATAAGTCCTTCGAACCCTGAGGGAATAAGTCACCAGGAAATGACAGAGACATTGAATGTCATAGTCAATGACGGATCAAGTGTAGGCGCTTATACACTTGATCTGATTGCGCCTCCGAAGTTGACTTCGGAGATCACTCAGTTGCCAACGCTGGAACATAAAAGGTTCTTGCGTGATCTGCGTAGTGGAAAAGTCAAGCAGATCTGCGTACTCGTCGCTGACGACGAGTGTGTAGCCGACATAAGGTCAGCAACAACGCTTACTGAGAACGAGGGAGTTCTCAGTAGTTCATCTATGGACGAGAGTGTCCTAGATGAAAAGACACGAGTTGAGCGATATGACTCCCAATCGTGGGAATCGCTCAAGACAAATCCTCTCTATGAAGATTTGGTTGAATTCAAGGATGTATTCCCTGAAACCGTTCCGTACGAATTACCGAAGGATAAAGGTATTCGACACGAGGTCGAACTGAAGCCCGGTTCGAAATACTGTGTCATGAAGCAGTGGCCACTGCCCCGTGAACAAGTACTTGCGATCGACAAGTTCTTTGCCGATCGTTTAGCTGCGGGCCATGTGAGGGAATCAACTTCCCCACATAGCTCTCCGACCTTCTGTGTGCGAAAATCAACAGGAGGGTGGCGGATAGTGCATGCATTTAACAAGTTGAATGCTGCAACGGTACCGGCTCAGACGCCGATACCAAGGAAGGACGTAATCATTGATGATATGTCAAAGAGTACCATCTTTTCGTCCATGGATTTGATGGATGGCTTCTATCAAATCCTTATGCGAGAAAGGGATATACCCTATACCGCAGTGAGCACGCCCAGTGGAATGCTCTGGGAATGGCTAGTAATGCCACAAGGGTTTAGTAATGCCCCTGCCACGTTCAACAGATGTGTATCACATCTGTTGAGACCAGTACGAGAATTCGCACCGAGTTATTTTGATGACGTACTCATCCATAATCGGGCTATGGATGGAAAGTCGGATGTTGAGGTTCACAGGTACCACGTCCGACAGGTTCTTACAATCATGCGAAAGCATCAATTGTATGCTAACCTCAAGAAGTGTATATTTGCAGCAAGCGAATTACCACTTCTTGGGTGCATCGTTGGTAAGAACGGTGTACGTCCTGATCCCGAAAAGATCATGGCGATCACCGACTGGCCTGTGCCGATTGATGTCAAAGGTCTATGAAAATTCCTTGGGCCAGCGGCGTATTTGCATAAGTATTCGCGCAATTACGCCGAGATGACTGTGCACCTCTCTCGTTTGTTGAAAAAGAACGAGAGATGGTTATGGAACGCTGAATGTCAGCGCTCCTTTGATGGTATCAAGCAGAGCTTGATGCAATCCTCAGTCCTAGCAATTGCCGATCAGGACAGGTCATTTCATGTGGTCTGTGATGCCAGCGATTTCGCAATCGGCTGTGCATTAATGCAGTACGATCTTGAAGGCGTTGAACGCGTCGTCTGCTATCGGTCGCGTCAGATGCAACCAGCTGAGCGAAACTATCCAGTGCATGACAAGGAACTCCTTGCCATGAAGTATGCACTCGCGAAGTTCAAAGTATATCTCTTAGGAGATAGACCCTTCATTGTTTACACTGACCATGCGTCATTACGCACGGCAGTGAACAGCCCGCACCTTTCACAACGAATGGCGCGGTGGTTGTCATTCTTTGCAGCATACAACTCTACGGTCGAGTACAAACCAGGACGACTTAATGTCGTCGCTGATGCACTCTCACGTCGTCCCGACTTTGAAACAGTCGCGAAACCCAACAGTGAGACAGTCACTGTTGCGGTTATGACGTCCTCAGTCCCATCTACAACGTTGTATGATGATGTGAGGCGGGCATACGCCCAAGATGGTGAGATAGTGAAGTTGTTGACACATCTCTCACAACCATCTCGAGAATCGTTGAAACGATTGTCGCCTGCGTATCGATCTGCATCAGATCGATACACTACTCGTAACGGTTTACTGTATTATACAGCCGTTTCTGGTGACACACCACGTGTTGTCATTCCAGATGAAACTGATCTGCGTTTGCGGATCATGTTCGAGTATCACGATGCTCCTATAGGAGGACATCGTGGCCGGGAGAAAGCATATCTCACGGTGAGTCGAGACTTTTACTGGCCCCGCCAGTATTAGTTTGTGAGAAGTATGTTCGCGCATGCGAAGTCTATCAACGAGTGAAGTCAAGTCCTTCACTGCGTGCACCTTTACAGCCTCTACCGGTTCCGGCAGAGTGCTGGGAATCCATCTCAATGGATTTCGTCTTCGGGTTACCCAAAGACGCACGCGGTAATACGGGTATTCTCGTATTTGTTGACAGATTCAGCGAAATGGTACACCTTGTGGCTGTACCAGAGACAATCACGGCAAGTGGCTGTGCTTGTGTCTTTATTGACACCATCTTCCGACTTCATGGGTTGCCCCGTGAACTCGTATCAGACAGAGATCCACGATTCACTGCTGATTTCTGGCGTTCCGTGTTCAAATCACTCGGAACGCGCTTGAAGATGTCGACATCTGATCATCCAGAGTCAGATGGTCAGACGGAACGTGCCAATCGTGTCCTTGAAGAGATACTTCGAGGATACGTACACTCCTTTAAGAGTTGGAGTGAGTTTTTGCCAATGGTAGAGTTTGCCATTAACAACTCGGTGCATGCGTCCACGACACATACACCGTTTTACGTGAATGGCTTGCGCCATCCGCGTGTACCCACCTTACTGAGTGTAACTCTGGTTTAAGGGGGGGAGAGACTCGCGCGAGCAAAAACCGATTTGGTTCACGCTCATCACGCTCTGACGAAGAGGTCATTGCGTTTGATGCCGATATCGATAACATCGATATCGAAGAAGATTTGATGCCAGTGAGAGTGCGGAAGCCCTCACTGAAGAAAAGGTTGATGTTGCTGCAGTGCACTCACAGCGCACTGAAGCTAACGAGTCAGCAGATGAGTTCATACTGGCTCGTAAAACGGTAGTCCGTTTTGTGCAAGACTCCATCGCTGAAGCGGTGGATAAGCAAAAGCAAAACGCAGACAAGAATGGAAGGGCAAACACTCTTTTATTTAATCAAGGTGACTTAGTCCTACTGTCTACGGTTAATCTACCAAAGCATGTAGTGACTAACTTGGGTAGTAGTCAACTTCTACCCAAGTACATCGGTACATTTCGTGTATTGCACCGCCTAGGCAATGCATACACGATCGAGTTACCACGTAAGATGCGAACGCATCCCATGTTTTACGTTGGTCGGCTTAAGCCGTACCATCAGTACGCTGCTTCTTCCGATGAAGAACGCCCTTGCGCTCAAGCATCTCGCAGAGAGCCTTGTGCTCCCGATGGTGGGCATCGACAAGGGTCTGAAGAGCAGTTATCTCATCCCGAGACCGATCAACAATCCCACGAGCTACCCTTAGCTCGTCACGAAGAGATGTCAGAGCTATCTCGTTCTCAAGCTGAGCAAAGGCAAACTCAGCTCGATACTTCGAGACAGTGTCCGCCAGTTAAAGACGCCCGTCCCGCTCATGTTCGAGATCGCCGCGTAACCCTTGCGTTACGCGATCAAAGAAGCTCTCGGGAACACACGCTTTCCCACGATTGTGTGGAGAGCGTCTTCCCTCCTCCTCCACCTCCATTAGAGGACTCTCGCGGTGGCCAGCGCTATCTGGTCGAGCAGCTGTTGAACCACCGCGACGTGAACGGACGTCGGACGAGTTATCTCGTCCGGTGGCGCGGCTATCCCCCGTCCTGGGATACTTGGGAGCCCCGCTCCCAACTGATGGTTGACGTACTGGGTCTGGTCGAGCAGTACGACGCGGCACATCCTGTGCCGCAGAAGGACCGCCGGAGAAAATCTTCCCGGCACGGTCGTAAAGGAATTTCAGGTTGTCATTCCCTTCGTACATCTCAGTAGAGATACGTACGCGCCACCACGGGCTGTTAGGGAGGTAAGCCTCCTTAAGTGTTCGTGCAGAGTTGTTCACACTACATGGGCACGAGTCCCCCCAAGAGAGGCAGGGTAGTCCTTTCTCCCTTGACAGACGATGCAGCTTGTAGCGTGCACCTGTCGGGGTTCGCTTTTTAAACTAATCACTAGCTTTGATAAGTTTGTCGTTCCGAACGTCACGACATACATCCTCAAGGTTATGGATGTAGGCGTTCCACGCTTGAAGCAGTGAGGGACCATCACGCTTGTGATTCCCACTGTACCATCGATGTCTAAAGAAAGCATCGATGAAGAATTCGTTCTCAGCGTGATAGTTTTTCACACTGAGGTCAAGGTGATGGATCCTTGACGAATCGAACAACCGTGCTCGATAACGATCACTCGTCGTCGCCGACAAGTGATCCATGACGGATTTAGGAGGTAGCCATGCCTTCTTCTCGGGAGAGAGACGCAACACACTGCGTTCCCGCTCTTCTTGCGACGTGCCGACAGAAGGACTGGCACCTCGTTGCGAAGTGGTGTCCATAGGAGAACCGACACCACTGTTAGCGCCCGAGTCTCGCGACCTCGAGCGCCTTCGCTTCGGCGATGGTTCATCTGATTCATCAGATGTACCAAAGATGCTGCGACGCATAGCATCATCCATGCCACGCTTGGCAGGCGGTTTGGATTCGATCGCCGTCGATACGGATCCGTCTTCCGTATCAGGAGAGTACGAGACTCCGAGCTCATACTCTGTGAAGACATGAGTGTCTTCATGACCAGCGCCTGCATCGCCAAGTGACACAGGCTGAGTCGCTTCAGCAACCGATGAGACATCAGTTGCTGTGGTTTCTGCTTCGGCGTCCGCACAGAGACGTGCAGACGCGCTCTCGGCGGCCTTGCTCGCGCATCGCATGGGCTTGTTAACCATGCGATGAGATGTTGGAAAGTGGACTCGGACCAACAAGTGCAAACCCCGTCCCAAATGATTTGGGACGAGTATCCATTTAGTCAATCAGTCACTAAAGTGACTGATGGTTAAGGGGGGTAATGTAACGGGGTGAATCGTTACATAACAATTTATAAGAAATTGTTAATAGAATATAACTATAAGAGTTGTATTCTCAGAATATTGTCATAAGGACAAATATTCTGTAGCACTTACGAGTAGTTCCTAATTGGTTGATATAGACCATTGTATCAACCAACGAAGACGCGCCACGACAGACGCACGCAATGAGTGGTGAGCAGATAGTTGATATGCACATTTGTATTTAGACATAGTTAGATGAGGATAAATAGTGGTTTATTGCAGACATTAACTATTATGAATACAGTTCTACTTTTTACTTTAACCAAGTACTCGCTTCTTCTTACCGTCTTCCTCTGCACGTACGAGTGTACGTGAAGTTCCGAGGCACCGCCTTATTCTGTCCTCAGAATTAGTAGCTTGTACTGTTACCAGTACAAGCTTCAGGGTGCCCCGTTACAATTGTGGCTCTCTTTCAGGCTCGTTACAGCAATAATCGGCAGCACTCTCGAAATAAAGTATACAGAGCCAAGGAAGCCGTTATCGAAGAAATTGATGGAGAGTGGCAATCATTCTTTTCACTCCTTGCACCGCACCTGATTGTGTTGATACGCGCTAACCCAGGAAACAGTGGTGCACTCGACGTTGACCAGGAATGTCCCTTTGCTTTTTCGTGGATGTCGGTGTAACGGGGCACCCTTTGTCTGGGTGCCACGAAACTTCACGTACACTAGTACGTGCAGAGGAAGCTGATCTACTTAAACGACTCGTTTAAGTAAAGATAAAAAAGAGAACTGAATTTAACAAAGTTAAGCTATCAATACAGCTTAAATCTTTATCTAACTATATTAAACTACGCCGTCGTGCGACGACAACCTGCTCACCACTCATTGCGCACGTCTAGCAGCGATTGGTGGCAATCTATGGTTGATATGTCTTATGTTAATCAATCTCGGAACAGCGCATGAATAATATATAAAAGGGATAGTATTCCTTCAATATTATCTATCTCGGATAATATTGGTAAAATATTGTCATGCTAGACAATATTCCTATTAAAACCGTTTGGTGTCCATATCATGTAATGGGCTACCCCGTTACACCAACCCCCCCTCCACTAACCATCAATCGCCCATTGATTGAATTAGAATTGATTGGGACAGGGTGACCACCGTTGGATCACTCTGTGAAAGGGATCACTTGTTGGTCAAATCTCATTCATTTGCCAATCCAACGCATGGTGTCAAAGTCCATGCGATGTGCTGCCGAAGCAGCAAGTAGGGCGGCGGCTCCACGAATGCGTGCAGCCGCGAAAAGTGCCTCTCACACCTCAGCAGCAGGTGATTCGTCGCCTATTGTTGTGAATCGTCCACGTGGTGAGTCACCCCGTGCGGCAGGTACATCTGCTGCATCTGCAGCGGGTACCACGAGTCGTATCAAGATGAGTCTAAATAGAGCTCATCTATTCTGGCGAGTCGGATGATGTATCCGACTCAAAGGCGACACCTCACGCCTCCGGGTCACCCGAGGCGGACGCTGCAAGAGCCAGGTTGACCGGCTCCTGTCAGCGTGGCGGTATCATGTCCGAGATCTTCCGGATCGAGCGATTCTTCCGACGAATCGCCGCCTCACGCAAGTCCTTCCAACGATAGGACGCGTGGGGATGGTGGTGATACACCTATACATCACCACGAGCAAAGTAACTCGAGCGATCGAGGTGTCACTGGTGTCAGCGCTCACGCTGGCACCAATCAAGAGGCCAGGGACGGAAATGTTCTGCGCCACGCTCCTCAAGTGGAGTCTCCGTGGATGCCGTCATCCAGAGAGTTGGACCGGTTGGTCGGCATGACAACCGAACGGGATCGAATCCCGTTGTTTGATTGCAGGAGGATTTGCTCACCTGATTCCAGCACGGAAACTATCCGTGCGGAGGAATAATTCTTCACCGATGCGTTCTTCAAACATCGGTGTTACAATGGTTGCCGTGTTCGAGACGGCAAAGCCTTGGTGCAAGGATGGAATGCCCTCATCCATAACATCGAGTGCATTAGCCGTGAGGCCTGGCTCGCCAAACTTGATGCAGCTCGCATCAGGTTTGAGAAACGCAACCCAGTTGGGGCGCGATACAAGTTGCACCGGCTTTTAAGAGAGGCGGAATTACCCTGTCTCTCGTGGGGTGATTCGTGTCCAGGTTGCCTGGACAACTCGAACCGTGCCTCTAGGGAGGTCTTCCTCCCTAATGATCCCTACTGAAGGGCACGCATCTCTTCCGAGATGGCCGAAGGGATCGGCACTTTGCAATCCCTGCACTCGCGTTCGGGGAGGTCGTTTTCCGACGGCCCTTCTTCAAACGCAGCGGGTGGGTATCGTCGTAATGCTCGACGAGACCAAGGACATCAGCAATCAGCTAGTCACGAGGCTTCCAGCTGTCCCATGCCGGTGGATAGCCACACCAGCGGACGAGGTAACTCGTCCGGACGCCATTCACATCGCGGTGGTTCAAAATACGCTCCACTAGGAAGCGTTGACCATCGCTTGAGTCCGCCAAAGGATGTGGTGGCGGCGGGAACACCTGATCCGGCTCGAGGGTCGGATCAGCTTGATGTTCAATAGCTGAACCGTGTAACGGAACAGTTGCAAGATGACCTGGCTCATGAACGATCTCGGCGTTATGAGCTCCATGACCATAAAAAGGATAGCTACAATTCCTTAGCGCACGATCGTTCGGACGATCGTGCCACTTTTGCGTTCGCTTAACTTGAGAACGAACGCTAGACTCATTCTCTTCGTGATGAGCTGGCTGCAGCTCGTCGAGACATCGCTGAGCTGCGTGAACAGGTCGCTTCGCTAGTTGACCAGACTGGTTCATTGAAACGGGACCACTCGAAGGTGGTCTCGGCTCTCGACCGTGGAGGTGTTCTTCGCATCTCGAAACGGGCTCGTACTGATAGTACTGGCGGAGACAACCATCGTAAAACGTAGGATGCGAGCGCATCTTACGGGGCAGTTCAATCGTGTATGCGTTGCCCATTCGGCGCAACACACGAAATGGACCGACATTCTTGGGCAGTAATTTACTGCTGCCCACGTTTGTCATTGCGTGGTTTGGTAGATTTACTGTTGACAGTAAAACTAGGTCTCCTGTATCAAATGAAAGAACACTTTCTCTCCCATGTCTGTCTGCCTTTTTTCTGCTTTTCTCTTGCGTCTGCGATAAAATCTTGAGCGAAGCGGACAACAACCGCTTCGTGAGTCAGCAGAAAGTTCTATGCTGACTCATCCTTGTTAAAAGCAGTGCTTCGTGTGCACTACTGAAAGAACGTTGTCTTCACCAGCAGCGCTTCGTATGCACTGCTGAAAGAATGTTGTCTTCACTAGTGAGGGTGTCATCGTCCTCACTGTGGCGGTCATTGGCGATGCTGAAGATGCCAGCATCGTCGTCATCGTCATCAGTGACATCGATACCATCGACATCGGCATCCATCACGTCGACACCATTTTCGACGTGATGAGCAAGAACCAGATCGGTTTTTGTTCGAGCGAGTCCCCCTCACTTAAACTAGAGTCAAACTTTAAGAAGGCGGGTAAACACGGATGGTATAGGCCATTCACGAAGAACGGTGTATGCGTTGTCGAAGCATGCACCGAGTTTTCGATGGCGAATTCAGCCATCGGCAAGAACTCACTTTAACACTTAAACGAGTGGACGTACCCTCGAAGTATCTCTTCGAGGACGCGGTTAAAGCGTTCCGATGGACCATCTGTTTCGGGATGGTCAGAAGTTGACATCATCAAACGTGTTCCAAGTGAACGGAACACGGATTGCCAGAACTCCGCTGTGAAGCGGGGGTCCCTATTGGACACGAGTTCATGGGGTTACCCGTGAAGTCGTAAGACAGCATCGATTAAGACAAAGCGCACAGCCCTGTGTAGTAATTGACTCCGGTACCGCAACAAGATGTACCATCTTGCTGAACCGATCAACAAACACAAGAATACCAGTATTATTGTGAACGTCTTTGGGAAACCCGAAGACGAAGTCCATCGATACGGACTGCCAACACTCCGCCGGAATCGGTAGAGGCTGCAAGGGTGTGCGGGATGAAGGACTAGGCTGCACACGTTGACAAACTTCGCAAGCGCGAATGTATTTGCCCACAAACTCACACTGGCGGGGCCAGTAGAAGTCACGACTTACCGTGATGTAAGTCTTTTTCTATCGCGATGCCCACTGGTTGGGGCATCGTTACACTCAAAAAAGATGCGCAATCTCAAATCATCATGAGCGGGAACGACGACACGAGGTGTGTCGCCGTTGACTGCTGTATTGTTCAGCAGTCCATCACGAACCGAATACCGTTCGGTTGAAGAGCGGTATGGAAACGACAAGCTTTTCAAAGCTCGATTACACGGATTGGATACGTAATCCATCAATCGCAGAAGAGACTCATTTTCTGTGTATGCTTTTCGCACGTCGTCGAGCAAATTCGACGACGGAACAATCACTGTTAGTATCGCTACAGTGGGATGACCCATACTGTTGTGTTGAGCAATCGGCTCGAAATCGGGCCGACGCGAAAGAGCATCAGCGACGACATTAAGTCGACCTAGTTTATACTCGACGGAAAAGTTGTACTCCGCAAAAAAAAAACGTCACCTCGCCCTTCGTTGCGAGATGTGTGGACTATTTATGGCCGTGCGTAAGGATGCATGGTCGGTATAAACGATGAAGGGACTATCTCCTAAGAGATACACCCGAGACTTGGCCAGTGCATATTTCATGGTAAGGAGTTCCTTGTCATGCACCGAATAATTTTGCTCATCTGCTTTCACCGGACGCGATCGATAGTAGACGACGCGCTCAATGCCGTCTGAGTCGTACTGCATTAACGCACAGCCGATTGCAAAATCGCTGGCGCCACAGACCACATGGAATGGTCTGTCTTGGTCGATAATCGCCAACACAGGCGATGGTATCGAGCTTTTCTTAATACCTTCGAAGAAGTGCTGACACTCAGCACTCCATGACCACCTCTCGTTTTTCTTAAATGGACAAAAGAGATGTACGGTCATCTCGGCGTAATTACGCGAGTACTTGTGCAAGTACGCCGCTAAGCCAAGGAACTTTCGAAGTCCCTTGACGTCGACTGGCACAGGCCAGTCGCTGATCGCCTTGATCTTTCCGGATCAGAGCGTACACCATTTTTACCCACGATGCAGCCGAGAAGTGGTATTTCGTTCGCTGCGAATATGCACTTCTTGAGGTTCGCGAACAACTTATTCTCTCGCATTAGAGTAAGAACCTTCCGGACGTGGATTATATGAACCTCCACGTCCGTCTTTCCATCCATAGCCCGGCTATGGACGAAGACATAGTCGAAGTAAATCGGTGCGAAATTGCGCACCGATCGCAAAAGATTCTTAACACATCTGTTAAATGTTGCGGGGGCGTTACTTAGCCCCTGTGGCATTACTAGCCACTCCCAGAGCATTCCACTGGGAGTGATTACTGCTGTGTGAGGGATGTACCGTTCACGCATGAGGATCTGATAGAAACCATCCATCAAATCCATGGATGAAAAGATGGTACTTTTTGCCATACCATCTATGATGACATCCTTTCTTGGGATCGGCGTCTGAGCCGGTACCGTTGCAGCATTCAACTTGTTAAATGCATGCACTATCCGCCACTCTCCTGTGGCCTATCGCACACAGAAGGTCGGTAAGCTGTGTGGGGATGTTGATTCCCTCACATGGCCCGCAGCTAAACGATCGGCAAAGAATTTGTCGATCCCTTTTACCTATTCACGAGGCAGTGGTCACTGCTTCATGACACAGTACTCCGAACCAGGTTTCAGTTCGATCTCATGCCGAGTGCCTCTGTCTTTGGGCATCTCGCATGGCACGGATTCCGGGAAAACATCCCTGAATTCGCCCAAATCCTTATACATAGGATTTCTCTTCAAAGACTCCCAAGATTAGGACGTGTATCGCTCAATCGGAGTCTTCTCAACGCACGCTCTCATCCTTAGATGAACTACTGAGAACCCGTTCGTTCTGAGTGAACACTGTGCCGACCGAATATCGGCGGCGTACTCGTCCTCTGTGACGAGTACGCATATCTGCTTGATCGTGTCACTACGCAAAACTCACAAGAATCTTTTAGATTCTAGCGTCGGCAGCTTTACCACCTCCGAAGCTGACTTCGGGCGCGTAACCAGATCAAGTGTATAAGCGCCTACACTTGATCAGTCATTCACCAAGACATTCACTGACTCGGTGATTTCCTGGGAAAACACATACGCAGGTGGTTGGGGATCCACACCCTCAACATAAATCTCTCGGGAGTTATCACTCTCAGGAACGCTGGAGTTTTTCTTCCATTACGGGTACTATCACGGTCACTTCCTCTTCGATTGACTCTCTGATAGTCGATCTCGCTTCAACGTGTTGTTCATCCTGAACAACACTAGTCTCTATTCTCGGATGCACCCTTCTTTGTGTGCATACGTGTTCGAGTCCACTCGATCTCTTCGAGTGGTGGACCTTCGGCGCAGCCTGTGTCTCTACACAGGTGCCGGAAGCCGGTTCCACAGTGTAGTGGCCTTCTACACTGTGATCTTGTGCAATCGTACTAACGACCGTGCCACAAGTGAAGCCATCGCACTCACTCGTAGTACATCCAGACGCTTGTGGACGCTCCAAGACGTTCATGAGATAGCCATCTGATGTGAAAACGGCAGGCATCATCACGGATCGATGCTTCCATCTGAACCATGGCTCGCATTATCTAAGTCATGGAAGATCGAGAGTGACATCGAATTTTTGTCATCCACATTTAGTACGATAAAGTCATCATCGTACTACTTTACTTCTATCGTGTAGTGAATTTCCAGTACACGTTTGTTCAATGTTACGGGTGCGCCTGTAGCAAGGCACACCGTCATCCTCGTTGGAGGGAACTCTCGCTCAACATAGTTGAGGCTACTATCCCTTAGCGACTGACATCGAATAGAACTGTTCGACGCCCCACAGTCAACTAGGGCGCGAAGTGACATTCCACTTGTCACTTTGATCTTCAAAGTAATGAGAGACTCCTCATCACTAGGGGCAGTAACACACAGCGACTGTGTGTTGGGGGAAATCTTCGTCAAGATTCCTGCAAATTCTTTTGACGTTGCTGGATCAGCAGGGTGCTCCGCCCCTACTGACCGTTTTTTGGCTGTCCGACTTGCTGTCGCGGCTTGGTGACATGGTCGGACCCACGCCTCGGTCCCTTCCTTGGCCAACGGCGGTCATTACTTCCTGTCTCCGGACCTGATGTGGTGCTTGGGACACTACACTCATGAGCGTAGTGTCCAATCTTCTGGCAGCGATGTCATCTTGCCGTTTGCTTGTGACTCAGAGAGTGAGAGTTCTCGCTCTCGATGTAACAGAGGTCCATTGGTTCGGCACCTCCTGTTTTCTGTCGTCTCGTCGGACGATAGTTTGACGAGTTAGCCTGAGACTGTCTCAGGCTGAAATCTTCTTGTTCTGCATACGCTATCGACCTTTCCAGCGTATGGAAATCCTCTCGGAACATGTAGGTCTTCACCGGCCCATCCACAAGGCCGTAGATGAACACGTTGATGAGCTTGTGCTTATCAACAGGGTTTTCCGTAACGCTACTCGCAAGGTAGCGCAGGTGCTGCGCGTAAGCGTGGACGTCACGCTTACCTTGCTTTAGCCTCAAGAGTGCAGAGCGTGCTCTGAACTCGGATCTCGGCGGCTCAAACGTCTCTTTGAGCCGAGACTTAGATCTTTAAGATCTCCAACGACTTAAACACGTTTTGGTCGTGAAGCATGAGCCCTAAGTCCCAAGTCTTTGCTCGTCCCGTCAAATTTTACAGGGCGAAGGTGACTTGCATCTCGTCACCCTCGATGTGGCGGGCCCTGATGGTGTCATCTAACTCGACGAACCATCTCAAAAGGGAATCTTCATCGGTTCCCTTGCACCTTGAGATATCTATCTTCAAGGTTTCGGGTCGACGCATGTGCGTCGGCCCGCCCATCGACTGATGGGATCCTTGCTGCTGTAGCAAAGCTACCTTCTGTCTT